GATCGGAGAGTCCCGGTGGACAGGAGAGCTTTCCGGCTCGTTAGTGTTGCCTCCTTTCTGCCATTTCGCTCTGGAGGCGTGGAGACCGAACAAACCAGCCTCCTTACTTGGATAGATTGCAAGTGTATCTTCTCCGTCCAAATGAGGATTGTCCACTTCATTGTTCAGACGATCTGTGAATCCAGACCCGTTGAGATACTTGCTTTCCTTATGCGCCCGGTTCTCCTCGCCTCCAGTTCTCGTCGCCTCTTCGTGTCTATGCCCGTCACCGGTTGACACGACGAGGCTGGGCGGCTTCTTCACCAGCTGAGGCTGCTCTTCGTTTGACCTCGGGGTCAACAGAAGGTTGTCCAGCCGGAAGGTCACTTGTGGCCGACTGCCAAAGTCTTCAAAGTCCTGACAGGCCCGTGACGTACCATGTTCCGCCTGCGTGTACGGCAATTGGTAGAGTGTGGGGTGCCGATTAAAGACGTCCGATGTATCCGTGGTTGGTAGACAGGCGCGATTAGCCTCGGCAGGAGGTGGTGGCGGCGGCGCTGGTCTATGGCTCTTGGAGACGGCCACCTCAGCCAGGCTCTCGAGCCAGGCCTGGCTCGAGGACTGTCTCGAGGAAGAAGAGCAGGTTGGAGAGCCGAATGCAGACAGGTCATCTCGGCAAGGCGTCAAGGCCAGGGAAGATGCGGCAGCAGGTGCCATCACCGCCGTGGCATCATAGACCCCGCTGGGCCGGGTGAATGACCGGTATCTTTGCTCTCCGGCGGCGTAGAAGTCGGGCCGCTGACTTGGGTACATGACGACAGGAAAAGGAGGCATCGACGACGTAAGTCGCTCATCTGCAGCTGCCAATGCCGTATCAGTGAGTGTTGAAAAGTCTCCGTACGATGACTGGTCATTGGTCACCGGGTTGGCTGAGCCTACAGCATGCCAATAGGCAGATTCTTCTGAGTTGTAGACCTCAGTGGGCAGAAATCCTGTGCCAGACTTCTCGGTTGACTCTCTTTGATCGATGGATTCTATATCCTTGCGGGCATCCTCAAACGTGATGGAGACAAGGCTATTGTCATGCTCATCGTGACAACGAAGATGGCTGGAATCTCGGTTGACTGGTAAACTGCCGGTAACACCTAAAGTTAGCAAAGAATTCACATTCTAGATACAAAGAGAAACTGAGTTTCGATGAATCTCTTGAGATAACATTGTTAGGAGGACTTTTATTTCGTATGAAAGTGAATGAAGAAGAGATTCGTTGGTCTATCTCACCAGATGAGGACGGATGGATCCCGTGGTACTTCAACCGTTGGGCTTTTATACGATATTCATGTTGACGCAGTCCACGAGACTTCATTCACTTTCATACAAAATGAAAGTCCTCCTAACAATTGACATTCTATTATGAAAAATACAGAAACTAAATTAGATATTGTGTTCGATGTGAGTATGCTTTTAAAATACCAGTAGTAATAATAATAATACGTATTATTAATAATACAATTAATATCAGCAATCATCCGAGTAGACTTCCAAACGCCATTGAATTTCGCTCAACTCTGCACAATAACAAGTATCTTCATACATGTGAATTCGAAACCGAGGCCTGCTGCTCATTTTGACGACACATTGACACTTCGATTTACAGACACGAGTGCAAGTGGTACACAGGGT